CGACAAGTGCCACAATACCACCCTCAATGCTCAGGCTTGGTGGCTGACAATAACCTCACATCTTTTTGACTGACAGCTTCCGAAGGAGATGAGTTACATAAAACCTTGAATTTAGTGTCAGCCCTATTCTGAACAGCTGTGCTAAAAACAGAACATTACTGAAAAGTCTCTCCTGAACACTTCTCTTTCTATCCCCATGGTTTCTTAAGCTCACATCATCTTACAAACATGCACTGTGTTGTTTCATTTCTCACTCCTCTTCACTTTTCTGCTCCACAACTTTTTCATGGCATTTTTCACCTCTTCATTTCGGAGGGTGTAGATCAAGGGATTGAGCATAGGCGTGATGATGGTGTAGAACACAGACACCATCTTGTCTGCTGAGAAGGTGGTGGAAGGGCGCATATAGATGAAAATGCATGGCCCAAAGAACAGAACTACAACAGTGATGTGGGAAGTACATGTATAGAGCGCTTTGAGACGCCCTTCAGAAGAGTGTGTCCTCAAAGAAACCAAGATAACAGCATACGACACAACAAGAACAACAAAACAGATCAGGGAAATCACACCACTATTAGCGGCCACAGTGACACCAGTGATGTGGGTGTCAGTGCAGGCCAGCTTCAGTAAAGGGTGAACATCACAGAAATAGTGGTCAATCTCATTGGGCCCACAAAAGGGTAGCTGAATGGGCAACAGGGTCTGCACCACTGAGTGTACAAAGCCTCCCACCCAAGAAGCTGCCACCAGCCAGCCACAGACATGCTTGTTCACGATATTTGTGTAATGAAGCGGCTTGCATATGGCAATGCAACGATCATAGGCCATCACTGTGAGAAGAAAAATCTCTGTGCACCCAAAGAAATGGCCTGCAAACAGTTGAGCTATACAGCCCACGAAAGAGATGGTCTTCTTCTCAACAAGAAGGTCATACATGAGTTTGGGAGCTGTGACAGTAGAGTAACTGATGTCTACAAAAGACAAGTAGCTTAGGAAGAAGTACATGGGAGAGTTCAGCTGTTCACTTGTCTTTATAGTAATGATGATAAGCAGGTTTCCAAAAATGATAGTGGCATAGAAGACTAAAGATAACAAGAAGCACACTTTTGCTACTCTCTTATCTTGTGTCAGTCCATGGAGGATGAACTCCGTCACATTGGTTTTGTTCTCCATAGACACCATGTAGACAGGACCTGAAGCACAGAAAAGACACCAGCTATGGCATTTAGACATGGGACATTACCAGTACACATACATACTGACAACTGGTATGTTAAATATCAAGCGTATTTCCTTTGCTGTCTTTTTGTGACAGTTTCCATTTAAAGTCAATGCTTCCCTTAAGGAATAACAGGTGATATCCAAATCAGAATGTATTACTGACATGCATAATAACAAGCTCAGATTATTTATTTGAAGAGGGTAGTAGAAATAATAGCATCAAGAGTCCTAGTTCTCACCTTTGCCTCTTTAAAAAAAGACAGCTAATTACCATATCCCCTTAAGACCCACTTTTACCCTGTAATGTTGATTTGGAAATAAAAGTTGACCACAAGAGACAGTGTGGCTATAATTCAAGTCTCAACACTTTCATCATGGCCTGAGGAAGGTCCACAGCAGTGGTTGTACTTTCCTTTTCAGTCCTCTAAAGAATTGCAACTACTTATTATTATCTCTCTGACTGTGCTAGACCCGAATAAGTTCAGTCACAAAAAAAGCTGGCCAGTGTTTTCTTGGACAGCCTTTCTTACAGTACATGAAGGAAATAATCTGGAGCTGATTTGCACTAATGGTGCATTAGCAGGGGTTTGCATACCTCACCCAGTCCTGGACTTAGTGTGGAACACCTCATAAATACACCTGTAGTGACAGTGGGGTAATGAACGCACCGCTGGTGACCTGCCTTTACTCACAAACACCCGTGAATTCACCTTTGCCGCGTTCCCATGCAGCACAAAAGTATCACAGGTGTGCGATTTATACATGAAGATAGAGGTGGCAAATGTGTAATAACCTTGTCTGTGACACCAACAAGCCTTTTGAGGTCTGAATTCTATCTGACAATCACCGGACACTCAGTTCTTTCTCCTGAGCTCTCTGCCTCACCAAACCGCTGCTCCCCAACTGGGGCAGCAGAGGAAAGGGTCTTCAGTGTCTCCACCTCTGTCTCCATGCCCCTCCACGAGCAGGGGGAAAGCACTGCGGGGAAGACCAAAGTGGGTGTGTTGTGACCATTGCTGCCTGACATGGCCAGCTCAGACAACGTAAGGCTGAGCACGTAGGAAGTGCTGTCATCAGCTCCCGAGTCCTCCCTGTAACACTGACAACACCCTTTTGCCAGATCTTCCTGGAAACGGCATATAACTGGGGAAAAAAACAAATAAGACACCAACTAAAACAAAGGCTGAAAAATCTGTGACTGAGGTTTTTCTAATTCATAAAATGGACCTCACAAAAGTCACTCACCAGAAACGCCTGGTTTCAAAGGTGGGATTTCAGTCACGCTGGAACAAAACAAAGGAACGATGTCAGAAAACTTACACAGTTCGTATTTGCCAGTCTCTGAGAGTTTGCTTGCTATTCCTCCTCTGATGACCTCCTCCAACCGCTTTAGGTGGTGTTATCAGAATGTCTCGGCTGCGAGTTGCCGCTTCGATGTCGTGAAAGCAGCCCGTGCCTCTGCCAATTCTGAAACCTACAGCAGCCGAAAAGCCTGACTCTCCATCTGCATTTCGCATTCTGCAAAAAGCACCTTCCAAGAGCACCTACAAGAACACTTCTCTCTCACAAGACGGGGAAATCGTAGCAGAAATATTTAAGGTAAATCACACAGCAGAAGCACAAGACTATCGGAAGTAATGAGATCCCAGAGGCATACGAAGTTTTGTCAGAAATCATCAGCGGACAAGGAGCTAAAAGTGGGATATCTGTTAGGGTAGTCTCTGGAGGGTGATGCTGGAGCGTGGTCATTTAGACTGTTACGTTGCGCATGGGTTTGCTTGCTTGTTTGTTTGCTGGCTGGCTTTTTAATGCTGCCCAGATAAATAGACTTTATTTACTCTTGGACATGTATTTCTTCTGGAAGCATTTCTGGTTCAAATAAACACCACACCTGGCCATTTGCAAGGTTTATATTCACCTTACCTTTGCAATCAAACATTCTGGAAATAAAGATATCTCTTACACAGGTCATTTATATGAATTCTGTTTTCTGTCCTAAGCTAATATTTCTCAGATGCGTTATTTCTTATTAGCTTGTTCTTACCATTGCATGTTAACAGCACAAAAAAATATGACCGCTGTGCTCTAGACTGCTATCCCTTAGTCGACTGCCATACAAATTTGAAACAAGAAGTGGAACAGGAAATTACTCCAAAAATTTAGAAAGGTTTATGGTTAGTCCTCACTGCTTACCAGGTATTTTTAGTGAGGTAATGCAAAACACAGAAACAATTCTTTAGCCGAGGTAGTAAGTTGTTATAAGAATCCTTATGGAGCCTAATGTTGTTTTCAGTGACACCTTCCATAAGCTATGGTCAAGTATTTGCCCAGCAGCACCCAGAAGTGAGACCTCCAGAAAAACCCTGGTGCTCACCCCTAACGCATTAAAAAAAGACTATTACATAGATATATAAAATTTTACATATATATACAGTTAAAAGCCCTAGCTTGGGCTGGGAACACCTTGTAACCTTGAATCCTACTTAAGTTCATCTTAAGGTGCAATATAGGTGCAGGAGTTTATAAGGAATGTAAGAAATAAAAGTGTTTAAATTACTTTTGGATGGTACCGAGCAGGTCTTTTCCTTCCTCACTCAGCTGATTTGGTGGGTTTCTGCCGGCAAGGTAAGGGCTAGGGTCTCTTGTCTCATTGTAGCTCCTCAGGTGGAGACCCTGAGCTGCTATAGCTTATCACCCTGTGTCAGCTTTGACTAGCACTGCGCTGATTTGGTCTTTCATCCTGATGTTTTTTCTCTTCCCTCCTGCAATAGTAGGTGTACCAGCTGTTCACATGGAAAACACGCTTCTTCCCTCATGTGGGTGTGTAAATGTGCTCTCTTGGGCTGGAATTTGTCTTGCGTACTGGAATAGTTCCTAAACAATTTTTTTTTTTCCCATTGATGCATGAAATTATGCCTCCAAACACCTTCTTGGGTGACTACTTCATTTCGTACAGTCAGCAAGGTGTCTTTCTTTAGCTCTATGATTCTGTATTAGTCTAAACATTAAAAAAAAAACTGAGTCTGAGGATAGGGGACATGGTTGGAAGGATGGCATCAGTGACAGATGAAGTAGGTAGAATTATAGAACAGCTTGGGTTGGAACGAACCTTTGAAGATCCCCTAGTCCAAACCCCCTGCCATGGGCAAGGAAGCCTTTCACTAGATCAGGTTGCTCAAAGCCCCACTCGACTTGACTTTGAACACCGCAGAAAGGATTTGTTGCACTGGCAGGGGAAGGGGAGAAGCTTCCCCTCCTGTCACCTGCATCAGCAAATGACCCAACTAGCACCTAATATCAGGTTTTTAATTGCTAACCCATGGATTCAAGATACCACAATGTGGTTCTCATAAAAGGGCATTTACTGCAAGCAGAAAGGGGCCTCTGTTTCCAGCAGCAGGTGACCATAGTCCTCTCTTTCCCAGCCGAATGGGTTACAGAGCAGATGGAGACTGTTGGAAAGTTTATACATGAGTAACAGGATGCTCTACCTAAACAACATTTTCAGTACTTTTGATAGTATTTATTTAAACACTGGTGTTCAGTTAGTGCACAGGAGCCCCAGGCTTGGTTGACAAGAGAATAGAAGGGGAATGCCTGCCTGATAGAGTTCACAATGTCTTTCAAATCAAAAGATGAACCTTCAGTGTCTTCCTAATTAAAACAGGAGCTAACAGCAAGGTTTTCTTTGAAAGGCCATTCTTGGGGAATTTTCACAAAAGAAATTATAGTGAAAGATGCTTGATTTTCTCTGATCCTTTGGAAATGTTACCACAGTTCTACACCTTTCCATTTTCACTTCCCACTTTCCTACTCCACAGTTTTCTCATGGCACTCTTCACCTCCTCATTTCTTAGCGTGTAGATGAGTGGGTTCAGCATGGGTGTGATGACAGTGTAAAACAGTGCCAGGCTCTTGTCCTCTGACAGATTGCTGGACGGACGTATGTACATGAACGTGCATGGCCCAAAGAACAGAATCACCACAGTGATGTGGGACCCACAGGTGGAGAGGGCCTTGTGCCACCCTTGAGTTTTCAAGGAAACCAGGATGACAACATAGGACATGACCAGGATGAAGAAACAGCTCAGACTTACCATTCCGCTGTTGGCAACAACAATGATGCCCACAGCGTAGGTGTTGGTACAGGCCAGTTGTAGTAGGGGGTGGACATCACAGAAGTAGTGGTCAATTATGTTAGGGCCACAGAAGGGTTGCTGAGTGGTTAGAAGAGTCTGCACTATGGAGTGCACGAAGCCGCCCACCCACGAGCCGATCACCATCCGGCCACACACGCGCCTGGTCATGAGGCAGGTGTAATGGAGAGGTCTGCAGATGGCAATGTAGCGATCATAGGCCATCACTGTGAGGATGAAGATCTCTGTGCAGCCAAAGAAATGTACCCCAAACAGCTGTGCTATGCAACCCACAAAGGAGATAGTTTTATTTTCAACAAGGAAGTCGGCAATCATTTTGGGAGCTGTGACAGAAGAGTAACAGATATCTACAAAGGACAGGTAGCAGAGGAAGAAATACATGGGGGAGTTCAGACGTCGACTGCTATTTACAGTGATAACGATGAGCAGATTTCCTGCTACAATAATCATGTAGAAGAACAGAAACATCACAAAACATATTTTCTGCACCCCTTGATTGTCTGAGAGGCCCAGAAGAATGAATTCCTTCACACTGCTTGCGTTCTCCATGTTAATCAGTTGGGCGGCAATATGCAATGCACAGCCTAAGCACGTGGAAAAATAAAGACAAATGATCCATCAGGTTTTTTCATTATTAATAATGAATCCCTTACCAGAAGTGCATACAGACTAAGAAACACATAGGATTAGTATCAAATTTATGAAGTGCGTTTTTTTGTTGTATTTTTTTTTTTCCGCCTGCCCAGGTATTTAATTCTCCTTGCATAAGACTTCAGCCGTGGCTCTTACCACACTGAGATGGGTGCACTCTGTGACACATTCCTCCATCCTAGTCCTCCAGGATTTTGAAGGGCTGGATCTATGACTGGTGTGCTAAGGACAAGGCCAGAGCATTCACCTCGAGTTCCTCTTTTCAGACATGGTCACGTTCCAGTGTGATTGTGGGGCTGCTTTGGTTTGGCCTGTTCCAGCTATAGCCCCTGGAGCAGTACATGTCACTAGTAAATAAATAATCTATATCTTTAAAAAGACTTAGTCCTTAACGTTACCAACTTGCCATTACGCACCCAGATATCAGAGTTCTTTTGGTCAAAAAAGCCTGGAAAACACTGGATTAAACTCTTTGCAGAGTTTAACCAATAGGCACCTTTTAGAAAGAAATTATCAACTGTGTGGGATTCATCCTAGTATCAAAACATTCCCAGTCAACTGCTGTTAAAAACAACCATTACAAGTCCTGCCCAATGAAAACACAAGCGGTTTTCCCTGTTTCTGCAGGTGATCTGGGCAGATCTGTGGAATGATTCAGTTAATTCAAGTTATCTAGCACCTATTTAAAATTACAGCAAAATCAGAAACTCCTGTGCAGGCAAAAACTGATCAAGCATCCACAGGAAACACTGAAATGGAGAAAACCAAAATTGCTGTCAAACCCAAAAAGTAAAGCCTAGAGAGGAAGTTGTGAAAGTTAGGGACTTTTCTTGTGCTTACAGCTGTACTAACAGTAGGCAAAAGATATTCAAGAAGGGGGGTAAAATTTGCATGGATAATTCCTTTTCTGATATATCTCCAAGAAAAAAATATCAATAAGAACAATGTGATATCAATTTCTACCTAGTCTTATCAGGTTACGATCCTTTCCATCCCTCCTCTTTGCACTTAGCACTGACCCAGATTTCTACACAAAATAAAAGGACAAAATAGGTAAAAAATTTATGGCTGTGCAGTATCCGGTGGAAGAGAAATAGCTGGGCTCCATCTAGGCCAGAGCAGAACTGGAAGCCAAGCCCACCAGTCCCCGTGTCGTGTTTAGGCGATCGGTGGTTCAGAAAGGAATGACCAAGAGATAAATGATCAAGGAAAACTATATTCCTGAATAACAGTAGGTGAGAAACTCCTAAAGTAAAACGAGGTGTATAATTTTTCTAAGGATTGTAAAGACACAACCCATTCACAACAGACAGCTTTACTCTGTGTGCCCTTTGGTAAAGCCCAAATTGCTTTTTACAATATATTCATCTGCCTCATTCCATCCATCTCATTGACTCAGGTCATGTAGGTGCCTGTGTCTGAGCCAGTCACATGCACGCTTTTTTCTGCCTTTGCAGGGCAATTCATGGCCAGCCGAAGGTCTCTACTTCAAGACGTGATGAATTACATGCTGGAGGTGCCTATTGCTTTCTGTTGAGTCTGAGAGGATGACTAGAATGACTAATTCAGCAGAAGATTCCCACAAGTTATGTCGTACCTCTAAAAGTATCTTTTCAGGGAGGGACTAGAGGTATATGATATAATGCAATGAATTGCTAAATAAAATAAATACAATGTGGACTGCTAACATTTCAACACCATCACCTTATTGCAAGCATTCTTCCCTAAAATCTCAGGTGGTTAATGGGAAACAAAGTAATAAAATAACCAAATCTGGGACTACAGAACTAGCTCTGTGCATGGTTCCAGCCAAAGATAGCCATAAGCACTTGATAACTTCAGCGAAAATTTCTTTTTGTATTTTCACATTTGTTCAAGAGGAAGGAAAACGAAAGAACGAAGGAAATTAAGAAACGAAACGAAGAAAGGAAACAAACAAAAAAAAAAAGGAAAGAAAGAATCCAGAGAACCTGGAAAACTTACCTCCTCGGTGTTTGGAGATCTAATTTTTTGTGTAAGGGCTGTATGATTTTATCTCCTCAACACCTGCCTTCCCTGGTAGGAAGGTGTTAGAGCACAGAGTCTTTAAAGGACATAGAATAGCTTCTGGAAAGCTTCCAGTGCTTGCTTAGGAGGCACCTATTACTGTATAATCCCATCTAATTTAATTTCTTGCTTTTCTGTATCACAAGCGTACCTTGGTATTTTCTGCCCACGTGAGAGGCAGAATTTGATGGGCTGTCTGGGTAGCGTGGCCTGGCCTGCGTGCACTGAATGATGCATTCGCAACCCAGCCGCAGGACGAAGGCTGGGAATAGAAAACTGTTTAAGTAGCGCTCTGTAACCCTCTCCAAGGAAATCTCCCACCCGAAGGGCTCTTGGGACTGGAGGAGGGAAGGCATGGAGGCTTAATGAGGGGAGGGCGGGAAAGGAAGGGACAAAGGAGGAGAAATTAATTCTGTTCTGACTGAAAAGTTTAAGCAAACATATTTTAAAGAAATAACCGTCAGTCAGGGATAGTGATATTATGAAGGCATTTCAGGATTTGTCCAGGAGAAATAACAGCCAATGGATTATCTGAATATTAAACTGGACAAGCATGTGCAGCGACCTAGTCCTCGTTAACCCTTTCCAGAGTCCTTCATTAAGCCATGCTTTAAGGTTTTCCTCAGTGTAGAGGCCCATTAGATTCACTGCTTTGGCTTTATAGCACTGCGAGTAATAAAACAGTACTCACGTCTTTCTGTATTCCAAAACCAAAAAAGCCCACATAAAACGCAAATCTTCATCAAAAAAAAGTCAGCGAGATTTCTAGTAGTACAGAGAGGTGCTATGCTCTGGGGGTGTTAAAGAGTTACCTGCCACAGTAGTCTTTTAAAGGGCAGGCAGGCACACTTGTCTCCGTAGTGGTTATGATTAAGTTAAGTTTTCACAGAGACAGAAGATGCCCTGGGTTACCTCTTGATGACCCTTCAAGTCCTATTTTGCATAAAATGTCATCACTGGCAATCCAGTGAATAAAGCCCCTTGCAAGAACTTGCATGTTCTAGCAAAGGTCAGTGAATTACAGAGTAAGTAAAAAAAATCCTTCTTTTACAAATGGGGAAACCAAGGGAGGAAGTCAGCTCTTTTATGCCTGTGGAAGTCAGCTGGGCTGAGTCTTTACCACTCCAGGCTCTCCTGTGGAAAGACATAGATCTCTGCAGGAATTGACTCACCTGGTCTACCTCAGACCTGATTTTAGGGTGGGACTAGGTCTACAATAGATATCTAGATTTTGAACAAAATTACTTAGGGCAGACAAAGGCTGCATCCAAAGAAGCAATGACTCAATGTCCAAGTAGAAACCAGCAACGAGTGATGTGCCTCAAGGGTCCATACTGGGACCAATGCTATTTAATATCTTAATCATTGACATAAACAGTGGGATCAAGTGCACCTTCTGCAAGTTTGCAGACGACACCAAGTTGAGTGGTGCAGTTGATACGCTTGAGGGAAGGGATGCCATCCAGAGGACCTTGCCAGGCTTGAGGAGTGGGCCCATGAGAACCTCATGAAGTTCAGCAAGGCCAAGTGCAAGGTCATGCACCTGGGTTGGGGCAATCCCCACTATCAGTACAGACTGGGGGATGATGGGCTTGAGAACGGCCCTGCAGACAAGGACCTGCGGGTACTGGTGGATGAAAAATTGAACATGAGCCAGCAATGTGCACTTGCAGCCCAGAAAGCCAACCGTATTATAGGTTCCATAAAAAGAATTGTGACCAGCAGGTCGAGGGAGGTGATTCTGCCCCTCTACTCTGCTCTGGTGAGACCCCACCCAGTGTACTGCGTCCGGCTCTGGGGTCCTCAGTACAAGACAGACATTGACCTGTTGGATTGGGTCCACAGGAGGACCGTAAAAACCATCTGAGGGCTGGAACATCTCTGCTATGAAGAAAGGCTGAGAGAGTTCAGTTTGAAGAAGAGAAGGCTCCTCAAAACCTTCTTGTGGCCTTTCAATATGTAAAGGGAGATCATTAGAAAGACAGAGAAAGGCTTTTCAACAAGGCCTGTAGTGACAGGACAAGGGGCAACGGTTCTCAGCAAACTGAGAGTAGATTTACATTGGACATAAGGAAGACATTTTTTATGGTAAGGGTGGTGAGACACTGGGACAGGTTGCCTAGAGAAGTTGTGGATGCCCCATCCCTGGAAGTGTTCAAGGTCGGGTTGGATGGGACTTGGAGCAACCTGGTCTAGTGAAAGATGTCCCTGCCCACAGCAGTGGGGGTTGGACTAGATGATCTTTAAAGGTCCCTTCCAACCCAAACCATCTAGGATTCTATGCACTCTTGCTGTCAAGAAGAGACTCATCTTTCTTAACTTAAGGCTTCTGTAGCCAAAGGTGAATCTATGAAATGAAGCACAATAAAGCAAGCGGATATGCCAATCCATGCATCAGTTCAACTCAAACTCATCACTGCTCTGAAGTTTACTGTGTATTTTTAGCTTCAGACTTATGGGTGTCAATAAATAAATTGTTTCATCCACTGCCCATTGCTTTTTTTGTTGACATTTCTTGAAATTTAGAATGGCCCAATAACAACCAAGGTAATGTAACCATCTCCCAACACAGAATGCCAGCGATCCATGCAGTGAAAATTAAAATCCTCAAATGAATGAGGAGGTTAAATACTGCTCTGGGTGAAAACAGTCCTCTAACTTAAGTATCATCTTTCACTGTAGCCTGGAGTCCTGGCCAGGTTAATAAGGGTTAACACTAGTCACTACAGGAAACAGAGTATTGAGTAAGAAACTAAAAACAGTCTTACAATCTTTGGGAAAGGAAGAGGAACAACAAATGACAGAAGAAGTTAAAGATGAACCATCAGGTATCTGGCCTGCTAAGCTATTTG